AGCCATCTTCCAATGCTAGAAGCTCTGCTGTCGCTCTAATGCCACGTTTTAACTCCTTGAATCTCAGGCCAAGGCTAAAATTCTTTTATTGAAGCTTGTTCTGCCGGCTGGAGTTAACACTGTGGCAGAAATGGCCTTAGCATCCAGCCTGCCCTAATTCAGAACAGAAAAAATAAAGATAAGATGGAGGTTATCTCACAAAACGTATCTTGCAATTCCTGCAAACCAAAGCCCACAAAAAACCTATGCATTTTCTTATCTGTGAATAGTTTTACTGTATCACCAGGATCTATGGACTAGAAAAAGCATCAACAAGTTACACCCTGAACCTCCAGGCCTGTGAACTTTCATTCCTTCTGGCCAGTTGTAAACTCTTAGGAGAGGATGAGATCTCCACATCTCACCCTGTTCATCAGAGCTGGTGCGTGTTTCTGCCTATTACAGCACAGCTGGATTTGCTAGTGGCTGAGGGTGAGGACCAGCTCCTATATTAACAGCAGAGAGCACTTCAGCCTTATTCCCCTTCCCTCCCTCTGCATACTTGTCATTGCAAACCACAGCCTGGCTGTCAGATGTGTGATTTATGGGGTTAGTGCTCCTGCTGTGCCATTCTCCAGCCCTGCCAGCTCTTCCTCATCACCAAGCTGTGAACTCCAGTTTGTTCCCAGAGGGTAGTCCCCTTTGTGGGCCATGGCACTTTATGCTGGGATGCCTGGAACACTGATGTACTGGGTTCTTCCTGCATCCCAAGGGGCAGCAGCCGCCCGCTGCACCTGAAACAGTGAGAGCCTCATGGCTGTTCCCACTTGCAGTGAATTCCCCTCTCCTGGTAGTGCCAGAGAGCTGCAGGCTGCTCAGGCTGCCCTGGGAGCAGATGCAGCATGGGCAGAAAGAGGAGGAAGGGATTTGGTGGGGGAATGCTTTGCACTGATGGTGACCTGGGGGGTCCAGCTCAAAGCAAAGTGTCTCACAAGGGCTGTGGCAAGGGCAGGAAGGTTTCCATTGTTTCCTTGAAGCTTGTATAAGTCCAAATATTGTTTTGAATGGTGGCAGCACCAGGTGGGTGCTGCAGGCAGCCTGACCTGGTGACCAAGGGGCCACTGGGAGTCAGATGAAGCTGCTCCCCTGGTAGAGGTCATCTGATGCTGCCTCATGACTGAAAGGTGACATATTTTGAAGAATTCAGCAGGAAGTTCTTAGCTTTTTCAAATTAGCCAACGCAATGTTCCTGTGCTTACTGGCCTGGATAAAACTGCCACTAAATCACTTCTTATAGGAAAGTATTTCAAGGAGAGAAGGTTCTCAAAAATGGTTGTTGAAATTGGGCATCTCCATGTCCTCCCCTTCAAAGAACAATTTTAAGCTCAGGATCACCTGAAAGAGGAAAGTTTAAAACAAAGATTGCAGACTAGAGATGTGTCAGTATCTCATGTATGCTTTGGTATCTATCCCAGGCTATATTAACTTGTCCTTCACTAGGAATTGCTCTTAACCATTTCTGTCTCTCTTAATCTTACATCTTCAATGTGCTGCAACAGATTAATTCTCTTTAACGTGAAACACACTATGCAAACATCAGATATTATTACACTATTATCAGGCATAATAAGCCTTATGTATTTTGTTTACAGATTACTCTAAAGGTGCTGGGAACTGTTCTATATGCCCCCTGAACAGATCATGCTGATTTTGCTTTAATACCATTTATGGTCTGCTTTAATTTTCAAAATGCAAGACCAGCAGCTGAATCTGCCACACAGTAAATTTACTACACCTTTTGGAAATGGTGTATGGGACTAAGAACAAGAGTCAGTGACTTTCCAGAGGAAATATCAGTAAGTCAGTCAGTAGAAGGCACAATAGCTTGTTTGATTTTACAAATAAAGGAGTTGTACAAGCTATTTCTGCTTCCTCACGCTACCCTTTGCTGTGATGGTTTGCTGTCTGTAACATCGAGCTACGCAAGAGCACTTCAGCTTTGCAGGTAAGTGCATGACTTATCACAAACAGGAAAGACAAACTGCAACTGGTAACAACATTCCCGTGGACTGGTTCTATGAGGGGAAGGAGATGGATTGAGCCGTGGGCACTCGTTTAGTGTATGCAATCATAGTGTAAACTCTACTGGAAACCTTGTCAATTTGCTGTGTTCCCATTTACCCATTTCCAGGGCTTGTACTTTGTGACACTATTTATTCATTCATGAGAAATAGGCATGCGCTCCCAAGGCACCACATCTAGAAACTGATGCTCAGTTGCTGCCAGGACTTGGTGTACCTGTCCTGTGCATGTTTAGCATCCTTGCAGGAGCTGGGGCATGTCCAGGTCCCCGAGCACAGGTGGGCAGCTCTGTCCTGTCCACATCCCCATCACTGCTTTTCTTGGCAGGCTGTGGTTCGCAGTGAGTGCCTGAGACAGGCTTTCATCCCACACACAGTGGTCCCTATTGTTCTTAGTGCACCTGGTCTGAAAAAATCCTGGTTGTTATTTGTGATGCTAAGTTTCAGTGAAAAGAACAGCCGCAAGCAGAGGACAATTAAATCTGATCAAGGACTTCAATCTGTGGAAAAGTCATACGTAAGAATTATTCTGAAATGTCTGCTCTGATTATCTCTGAATATTACAAGCTCTGTATTTCATTCCTCTTTTATTGTATTCAACACCATTTTTCCAATAAAGAACTTCTATGGACTTTTTTCAAACTCACATAATAACGAAACAAAGTGCTCTGTGATATGTGACACGTGCAAACCCTTGCTGTGACTGACAGGGGAGAGGGCTAGTAAGTCAAATCTTGTTTCCTGCAACCAGTAACAATTTATGAGGCCTGTGGAGACAGAGTTGATAAATAAATAGCAGACCAATGCAAGCATGATGTGGGGATCAAGAACAGAACGTAACGAATTGTAAATGGGCTATATATAATTTATAGAAATTAGCATACTGTTACAGTTTTACAACTCTGAAAGTCTTGAGTTACACAGCAGCTGTAACAGAGACACCTCTTTAAATCTTAATATATGCAAAATGACACTTGTTACCTTCAGGTTTTAAAAGAAAGTGTCCTTCCAGTACAATTAAGAAGCAATTCTTGTCTTCTTGCTGAACTAAGTTATGCTTGTTACTTAGACGGAGAAACAATTTTAAAGTAAGGGAAGCTGTAGGTTTGTGATAGTGTTATTTTTACTGATAGTGCAGCAATTTTAATTAAAATGCATTAACTGATTATTAAACTGTGTTCCAGCAATCTGACAGAGATACTTAGCAAGACTTAAAAACAATAGCTTAATTAGGTCATATTATGCCAGAGTTTATCAATTGATCTTTTTTATTGTGATAAAATTAGGTTTTCCTGTTCAGAGGAATTGTTCATAATGCTTTTAAAAGTTAGCAACATCCACTTTTTACAGTAAGCAGATGGTCTCTGCTATAGTATTGCCTCTTTGGACTTGAGCAACCAGCCAAAGTTTAGATCTATTTCCTTTAGGAAAAATAGTTAATGATGGAGTCAGAAATCTGTGAAGTATACCTCTGTATTTCCAAAAAATGTTCAAATTCCTGTTTCACTAATTCAACTTAAGAATAGGACAGAGAATATTTTATTGTGACTTTCTGCTGGCATCTTTCTGTCATCATTGAGCCCAAAGGTTTGGATATTTTTTCAGTACCTTTGAGGTCTGCTTTGTGTACCCAGTATGAAAAACTGTTACAGATTTCAGAACCTTAAGGGGGCTTATAAAAAGGAGGGAGATGGATTTTTTTATAAGGGCAGGGTGCCACAACAAGAGGCAATGATTTCAAAGTGAAAGAGGGCAGGTTTAGATTAGATGTTGGAAGAAATTCTTGCTGGGAAAGTGGTGAGGATGGAACAGGTTGCCTAGAGAACCTGTGGATGGCCCATCCATGGCAGTGTTCAAGACCAGGTTGGATGGGACTTCGAGTAACCTTGATCTAGTGAGTTCCATCCCAGCCCATAGCAGTGAGGCTGGAACTAGATGGTCTTTAAGGTTCCTTCCAACTCAAGCTGTTCTATGATTCTATGATTTTCCTTTTGAAGAGAAACAACTGTGGTAAAAGCACATCACTTTCTGTTCTTTAAGGGAAACAGCTGAGGAAAACCCTGCACAACAGGGCTGTGAGGAAATGTTTTCTGTCTTGGGTTCCTCTTCAGGTTTACCTTGCATGTGTTTCAATCTTCCTTTGTAAAAGAAAATATTGGTCTTCATACTCCCTTAATTATCTCTTATAAAGCCAAAAATATTTGTATAAAAAGATGAACTGTAAACGCTTAAAATGCCACTGCCTGCATGCCTTGGTGTGTATGATGCCTTACATATGCACATGTACGTTCTTCTGAGTCAATAGAAACTGTAATTTTGTGTCTATAGCAGATTTCAGTTTTCAGTAGTTTAAAAGAAGCTATGTTTTCTTATTCTAGTGAAGTTACTCATTGCATGCATCATCAAGAAAGGCATCTGAAGTCTATAGAACGTCCTGGGGATAGAATTATGTTTAAAGAAAAAGAGTATTGCCTTTCTTCATGTGAGACTTAAGGCTGAAGACTTACATTGAATTTATACTGCAAGGAGAGTGGGGACAATTCTTGCATCTCGTGTTTCCAAGAATTAAATCCTCCAAAAGGATCCAGTTTTAACAGGGGGCAGCAGGATAGGATCAAAACATTTTATGTGGCATGGGCATCACTGAGAGAAATTGCTGTGACAGAAGGAGAAAATTTTTCTGATGTTTGGCACACTCCTAATTGCAAGATCTTACAACTGTGCAACAAGACCATTTTGCCTAATATAGTAAGAAAATTACTGTAGTGCTCACACGGGAGAGGGCTGTCCTCACACCTGACTTGAAATCCTTTCCTGATTATCCTGGCAGGAATGGAATGGAAAGGAATGGAACGGAATGGAATGGAACGGAACCGACCAGAACAGTATAGACTAGAATAGCATTGTTGTTAAAAGCATTTTCCAAACGCATCTTAAACACTCACATGCCTGGGGCATTGATCACCTCTCTAGGAAGTCTGATCCAGGGTTTGACTGCACTCTTGGTAAAGAAATACTTCCTAATGTCCAGTCTAAACCTTCCGTAGTGGAGCTTTGAACCATTTCCATGCATACTTTTGTTGGATCCCAGGGAGAAGAAATCAGCTCTCCCTCTCTACTTCCTCTTCTCAGGAAGATGCAGAGAGCAATAAAGTCACCCCTTAGCCGTCTTTTCTCCAAACTAGACAAGCCCAGAGTGCTCAGTGGCTCCTCACAGGACATTCCTTCCAGCCCTTCACCGGCTTTGTTGCTGTTTTCTGGACACATTCAAGGACCTTTGTATTAGATGATAATCATGGGTAATTGCTTATGAACTATTCATTAAGGAAAATTATTGTATTTGGTATTTATTAAATACCAGATGGTTGGATTTTGCTGTTAATTTTGTAGGTCTAGTTTACTGATCTTTACAGAACTAGTGTGTTGGACAATTGGTTGTGTGGAAAATAAGTTCAAAAAAAATAGTTTATATCAATAGATCGCCTTAAGATAACTCACCCAGAGTTGCCCAAAACTTGTTTCATGGATGCAGGCTCAGACAGAAGATGCTGCCAAGCATTTTGCAAAAATAAGTAATGAATGGTGCCATTGATGAAATAATTTGTGATTTTTCACCTGGAGTTTGAGGTGTTTAATATATTATTTGCAATGTACATTTCCACAGAGAATTAGCACATATATATATGGCCTTTGGATGAGTAGCATGTTTGTGGAAGACTATTTATTTTGTCAACAATCCTCATTTTATGTCGCTCTCAAATCTGTCTTTAGGGCAGAAGTCATTTGGGCAGAAGACAAATAAGCACAGCTACGGAATCTGAGCAGCTGGTCCATAGGCAATGTGTGGAGGCCAGCAGGCTGTACAGCGCAGGTGCAGAAGGAGTGTACAGGTTGGAAAGGTGAGATGAAGCTTCTTTTCTCTGTAAACATGCTCAACTGGCTGCTGTTAATTAAACTTGCTTGTCCTGCTACCAGCAACACCATGTCCAGTGTCAGCCAAGAGTTAACAAATTGGGTAGGAAGAAAACAATGGATTTCTTAAAATACAGATAGCTTCTAACTGTCTGTGAATAAAAAAGGAGTCAACAATGCCTACTTTCCCAAAGCACTTGAATCTGTAAATTAAGGTTTGCATAAGAGCTTGAGTATTATTATTTATTTAAGAGCTCTCACATTTCCCTTTGCTTCTTCTCTTCCCCCATTACTCGTTTGTTGGGAAGACACTATTTGCATTCATGAATATGTGTCCAAAGTGGGAGGCAACAGGAGGATGTGGAATATAAGATTGGTTGTGAGAGTGAACAGAAGCAGGGAGGAGAGGGGTGTGGTGTGGGGGCAAGGTAAGGGAATAGACTATAAAAAGTATAGAAAAGGTTAGCAAGAGGGGAATAAGATTAGGTTTCTTTTGTGATTAAAAATTTCTAGTCCTAAAACATTATCAGGTCTTTGTTTTGGGGATTTTTTTTAACAGACATATTTTAAAATTCTTAGGTACATGTTTAACACAAGCAATAAAAGTTTTGAACAGCTATGGTAAGAAAAGATTTAAAATTTTTTCTGGGATTTAGTGGTCAAAGCAGTGATATGATTCACATTTTTAGCATTCCGACTGAAATCAAATTCAGTCTACTGTTGGTGCTATTTTTTCACATGTGCCTTTTAGTCTGTACCTTTTAGTCTGTGCTGTTTTAATCTGTACCTTCTTGCCTCTGGCCAGTCCTTCCCTGTGAGTGGGTTGGAAGTGCTTGGTGCCTGGCTGCAGGGCTGTGCAGAACACCCCCTGCCCTGGACCCACCACCACCACTGCCTGTACTGCAGGCTCCAGATGAGCAATCTCTTGCACATCAGTAAATGCTGAGAGTGGGTACTGGTGCATCTTAGTAGCGAAATATCTACTAAACATGAAGTCAAAATCAGATACTTCAGGAGGAATAAAAACAGTTGTATTAAGTGACTTTAGTGGGAAACATAATCATGGAAGATGTAAACAAAATAACTCTCTTAACTCGTGTCCCAAGGATGCATTTGAATTGACAAAAATATTTGAGACATGGTAGTAATGAGAATAAACTCATTCTGTGGTGAAGGTGCTGCTCAGTTATTATAAGACCAAACAAACACTTCTGTTTAAAATTGTTTGCCATATTATTCCTCCATAAAAACTGTCTTTCCTGTGTTGAAATATTTATTTTCCTTTTTATGTCTGAAAGCCCTTCCTATAATTTTTCTCTTTGTGACTCCTTCACTTCTTGTTTTATTTCACCCTCCAATTCCTGGCATTGGCTCTTTTGAATGCTGTCTCTTTATGACTTTATTCATTACTCAGCTTTGGAAATACATTGACTATTGTAACTCCATTAATTTCTTTGCATATCATTTATGTAAGATAAAATGCACAGTATAGTAATACAAATAACTGTTCTGGCTGTAATTCCCACTGAAATTAGCACTGGCCTCTCTCTTTAATGATCAGGGTTTTGTGTTTAGATATCCATAAGAGGGAAGGCTGATTTATACTCATGTTGTTCCCAAATGTAGACAACTAGACTTGCTCAAGGTTTCTGAACAAGATAATATAGACAATGGTGTTTCTAAATGATGGAAACAATACCAATTCTCTTTGGTAAAGAGTCACATAGCTGTTTTCTAGATTCCCACCATCTTAAATGCACAGTAAGTGTTTAGCACTTACTTAGTGCTTTCTTTGGCTTTGTGGAATATTGAAAATTAAATTAAATTTTATGAGAGAGAGTTTCTCTCTGATGTTAGCTGAGAGCCATGCTCATGCATGCTGTCTTTTAAAGCTGTGTCTACTAAAAGAGCAAATCTTATAATGTATTATTGTTAGTAAATATGTATCTTGGGCTGCTCTGACACCTTTGCAGGATGGATGGCCATTCTTTTACTTTCCTTTAATTATTTTTGTTTTAGTTGAGACTAAGATGCACTTGATTTATTGTACTAGGGCCTGGGTCTTAGACATGGATGGGGGTTGATACTTGCACTACAAGCATCCTTTTTGTGGGGCAGATCTACAAGGGAACTTGTAGCCCAGCTCTCTGCTATGTAGACGTGTTTGTTGCCTGTGCTATAACTTCTTGCAACATATAACAGTGACAGGACAGAGTTCACCTCCCACAAAATTTGCACATGCTTGGAATTTTTTTCTTATTCTGTGTTTGAAACATTTTCTGTGTTTGTACTTCCTGTTAAGTGCTAGACTCTCACAGGTAGTGTTGCAAATAGCTTGCAGAGTAATCCAGCACCTTATTAGATGAAACCAGGAGCCTTGAAATTTGCTTGCTTGCCTTATTTTACTAAATGTTTCCTATCCAAGAATATTTTTTTAAATTAGATCAGTTGCTTCTAAGTAATCTCTAAAGGGGGAAGATAGAGCATTTGGTTATTCTTCCTTAGCAGAAGCAGCATCTTTTGAATCAGTGCCAGATGCAAGAAAAGCACTCTGGACTATCACTCTGACTGCCCTGCTGTCCTGGGAAGGATTTCAGCCTCTTCTCTGATTCTGAATGAAGGGAAGGCTTCTGGGACAAATAACATCCACTTTCATCCCTCATCGCTAGGTCCTTACGGAGGTTCTTCCAGAGTGACTCTGTAGAAGGTCCACCCTGGACTGCCAAAGACAGGCTGTAGGTTGCCTGCCTTTGTATAAGTAGCTGGTTTTATTTTCCTAAAGCTCTGTGTGGGAGTTCAGTGGGTCTGATATAGAATTGTTCCCTTCCTAACATGTTTACTTGGTCAGTGCATAGGATTGTGCTTAGCAAATGGAATGAGCAGTGTTGGAATAAAAATGCTGTGGAAGACGTCATCATACTTTGGTTGAGCCACGATGGGGTACTTGAAGTGTACACATCTCATACCTTCCCACTGTCAGAGCTGGGTTTCACAGTGACTCCGTAGAGAATAAGCCACAGCTCAGGGAAATACAAGAATTCCCAGTTAAAAGATCCACCTGCTTTCCTGCATGTAGGGCATCAATTAAAACCTACTATTTTTAGGTGCAATGTTAAAGTACAGTTCTGTTAAGAAACCTTCTTTTGTGAACCACCAAGGTAGACACTGTGTCCATTTTCTATTGCTAATTTCCACTTTTGGACAGTTCTCCACTTTACACAGAAGAAAAATCAGTTTCCATCCTTTCCACCTCTGTGTAAACTGCAGGTGGGGAGGGCGAGGCAGGGCTGGTGCTTCCATCCTTGGGCTACAACATGAGCCCTGCCCAGTATGGTGTGGGCAGTGGGGTCGACACCAGCAGAGTCACTGCAGACAGAGGAGGTGCTTGGCCATTCCACTGCCAGGATGTGATGCTGCATGAGGGGCTGTGGAAGCTTTCATGATCACCGCTTATTAAACATTTCTGATGCCGACACAGGAGAAAGGTGAGTTCTGACTCACTGATCCAAAGGCTGAGTGTCTCCACAGGACTGAAACGTGCAAAAGCAAGAGTTTTATTTTACTGTGTTACTAAGTCACTAAGCTGCTGGGAGATATGACTGCGTACAAGCAGACAAAGCAGATCTGCTGATTAGGCAGATAGTTTACAGCTTATTTGCTCAGTATAAGTTGCCTGTTGAAACAGAAAAATTTCAAAAAATAATAAAGTACAGTGCCTAATGCAGCCCTCCCCACCAGCTCCTCATTAAGTTCATCAGTAGAACAGGCAGCAATGCTGGTGACTGCTTTGTCTAATCTATAATGCCACATGGTATTTATTGAATAACATATGTATTTGTCATTCAGTGGTCTTCATCACTGGCATTTTGAATTTGATTATCGAAAGTGTCCTTACATCTTTAAATCTCATTTGGAAGGAGAGCCACAGCCAAAATGCTAATGAGCTTGCCTTAATTGCAAACATTGAGCACCGATAAGAATGAAACTCCATCCTCTGTTCTAAGAAGTTCTTACGTGTTTCCTACTTACATTGCTTTTTATCTGATTCTCCTTCACTTCTGTTCTAAGGCAGATTAATAGGCACCTGAACAGACAAATAACAGTACTACATCTCCTTCACACCCTTTTGACAGACTTTTGAGATTGCAAAATATTTTTGGAAAATTATTATTGGAAAAAAGATTACTGAATGATCAGGTGGACAGCAATTTTTCATGCTGGAACAAACCGTTCCTCAGCACTCACATGAACACATTTGTAACTTGTACTTAAATGCTGATGGGACATTTTTTAGAATGTGATAAGTGTGAAATAGCCTGTAGTTTTATCAGTCCTGGTTGCTGCCCACTCCTGCTAAAAAAAGTTTTATTGTGATCATTAAGTTGCAGGTAGGCAGTGCCTCTGGACTGTAAAATAGGAATGTTAGTGTGCAGTGATGAAAGCAAACTTTGCTCAACACCTGTCTATATATATTGCAGGTTTCAGTGGCTGCCCAGTTGATCCGTTCACTCTGTTGTCTGGGAATAAAGACGTGGTAAGTAAGAACAACTAAGACTGAGTTTTCTTCTTCTTTGAGCTTGTTTAGCTTGCAAATCTGAAGTTCTGCTTTTGCAACTTAAGGAATGGCAACAGAGAGCTAACACAGGGAACTGTTGTGGCATATGAAATGTCATTCAACTGTTAGCATTTTCACCTTGTTTTCTTTCAACTGCATTTATGTTTTAAGGAAGTGACAAAAAAGTAGTTCTGGAATCAAACTGTGGTTTTTTTTCCTGTGAACAGCTAGGGCTTTTTTTATGGAATATGATAAAGAAAAAAAGCATTTTGTTAGCAGCTGCCCCCGAAAAAACCCAACCAAAAACCCAGCCAGAAATAACTGCCTATAGCAAAAGAAAGTATTATTTTAACTATTATTTGGATTGAAAAGAAGTGAGATTTTAAGTCACAGTAATCAGTGGTATTGGATACTGGAAAATGTATGGGATATTATTAATGAAACATTGGAAGGGAATACGGTCAGTTGGTGTGTTAGCATAGATCTTGTGTAAAGTCTGTGTTCCTCACCACGGCAGTGTCAGGCTATTCTTGATGGAAACATTTTCTTATGCTAATTTGGTTTGATACACGGAGGTAAAAGGAATACATTAGTCTAATGTAGTTTGCTCAACTAATGTGGCAGTAGGCAATCAGCTGGTTTCTCAGTAACTTTTATTATCAGCTCTTCCATTAGATCAGTAAGTCTTTTTAATGTCATTACTTTTTCCTCTCTCTATTCTTTACTGCATGTTTTGTCTTTGGGAAGGGGTAGATCTGTTCTATTTCCTTGCTGGTTGGGGTTTTTAATTTTCTTGTTGCTTTATTCTGAAAAAGCAATTGTTTTATTTAAACACCTACTAGGTATTTCAAGTAGTTCACTGATATTTCCTGGCTCTGGCTCCTCAGTGGTAGTTTCCAGTGCTTTTCTTAGTTGTGAACTCAAAAATGAATGTTTGGGATTCATCTCTCTCTGCACTTCCTTAGAAATTAGTTCTTTTTGCTATTTTGTTTCATGTGATTTTTTTAGTTTTGCTATGTGTTAGATTCAGGCTTGTGAGCAATGAGTTTCAGGAATCCATAGGGATAAACAGTGAGTACAATGCTTTTTTTTGTAGTTTTCAAATATCTTTTTTTTCCTTTTCTACTACATGAGTTGAAAGTTTACATCCTGGTTAAGTCTGCTAACTTATTCAAAGAAAAAGCCCCAGGGAAGTGGCTGGTGCCAGAGAAAAGACTTGCTCCTAGTAAGGCTGAATCATTGAGGGTGTTTATTTAAGTTGTTACTGGTTCTGTTGCACCTGGGGCTTTGTGGCTGCCATGGAACAGGTTCTGGGGCAAAACTATCAGCTGATGTAAAACTACCGAATGAATTTGTGCTGGCTAAGGATCTTTCTTTTTCTATCTCTACATGATGTGCTTCTATGTTGGAAATTATATATTTTGAGGGGAAAAAGACAATATTTTTTCAAACTTTATACAAGAAAGGTTGCCATGTAGCTTGGTATTTATCCTTATGAAGTATGTGTGGTAAATATTCATATTTACTGTCACATAGTCAGATATCAGATTAGCTGATAAATCCCTTTTTAACATAAAAACCGTAGCTCCATGGTGAATGATAAGGAAGTGATGTATTTTTGTAGAAAACTGAGAGAGAAGGAGGAGAGGGAGAGAGAGAAAATGGGGAAAGCTTGGCTGAACCCACAGCCTTATATGGAGCTGCTTAAGCAATCTGTAGATAGCTTAAGCAATATGTATGGTCACGTTGGCAGTTGTTGCAGTTATTACCAGTTAATTTCGAAAATACTGCTATTTTCTTCAGTACTTTTTATTTCATATTGGTTTGACTGAGTCTATTCCCCAGGATTGAGATTTCTTTAAGGCTTACTGGTTCGTAGCTCTTACTTCAGGTACAAGGTGGCCTTTTGGTGAGCTGTCATGGGTGGAGAGGTACGAACAATACCACCTGGGCACATGCAAGTGGTAGTTCATTTTCTCTGTGTTAAATCCAGCTAAACAAATACATCAACAACTGTTTCTAATTTAAAACTGCAAAGCACCAAGAGTGCAGCCCTGCAACAGAGGCAAAGCTGTTACAGCCCAGTGAGTCACTGAGGAATGCAATATAGGGCAACTGTGTGACACCTAGTGTTGCTCAGATAATTCCCCAGGGACTTTAACTCTTTGAAATGCTGCAGTGAGAGAGTCAGTATGGATATAAAAACCATGGGAGACCACTTTGCTCTGACTTTTTCCTCCCTCACAGTTTATTTTAAAATTTGAATGCCATTGATTATTTCCATCTATCTCCCTCTTAAGAGGGAGAGGGTTCAGTTTCTTTTGAAGTTAGAAAGGATGTCACACATAGTTAGCATTTCCCAAAGACAAGGAAAGACTATACTTACAACGAAAGAAGTGCACATGATGGTGTGAGAGGATTTGCCACAAGGTTCACCAAAACGGACTGGATTACAGTTTGTGCAGGCATTAGTTTTCAGACCTTTGCAATATGCATAGCATATTGTGACCTGCCACTTTCGGGAGGAAATTAGCTCCCATTTCAGCATAGCTCCAAACAGGAGGATATCCAAAGTGCCGGTGTGAATCCGGATGTGAGCTCCATGACTTCACCCCGGGTGCAGGCACCCTGGCTGGTGTCCTGCCAGCCAAGGAGGGAACCAGATGCACATCTCTGAGACACGTGGGCTGGCACAGGGGTGGGCAGAGCTCATCACTCCAGCACCTCATCCAGCAATCGTGGCTGTCCCACCTCTGGACCTGGACCTGTGCGTCCAGCTGAATGCAGCAAGTTTTTGCAGTGTGTGCTGTCATTGCCCCGTTCTCTAACATGTTCCTTTGCGGCATAGTTGTCTTCGGTGTTCAAAAGTAAACCACTAATAGGGTTTTCATTGTCATTTATATCTTTCATCAAGGATGTTGGTCTTTAACCCAGCGCCTGACGTCAGCCTTTCCAAAGGCACATGTGAGCTGCCAGGGAGCAATGCAGTCAGCTTTGTCACCCCACTGCTCTGCAGCACACACATCTGCTGAGTGTTTTATCAAGACGCTAATGCTTGTATTTGGGCCAAGGAAGAATTCTTTGAAGGGAAAACTGTAGAATGTAGATTATCCTTGTAGCACAGCGATTAATTAACAGTAAGTAGCTGTGAGCAGGACTCCAGCAAATAGTATCAGGTGTCTCTAAACTTCTCAGCTGTTCCTTTTGACAAGAGTCAGGATCTGGAAAAAGATGACAGCTTTGGTAGTGCTTCAAGGATCTAGATGGTTTTGCTTTCATCACTCCTTGATACCACTCACACAGAACAGGCTGTTCTAGTTAAACCTCTGTAAATCCAAATGCTTGAAGAAACGCTGTAAAGACCTCCAGTATTCAAATCTGCCTTCTCAAACGAGAGGTTGACTAGGGCTCATATGAATAACTTTACATACATACCTATACAAAAACTTCCTCCACAGAAGTGATAAACTCTCATTCTATGGCATTTGATCACATAAAGCAAAACCCATAATAATACATGACATACCTGTGGGATCCTGAGCACCTCAGGAATATGGGAGATGCTTATGAAAAAATGCTCTGCTGAATTCTTGAATGAGTTTATTGAGGAGACACGGGGCTGTTTTTCTGGCAAAGTTTTCGAGCTCCTGTTTCTTTAGTGAATACATCAGTTCAGTTTCCATACAATAATCATGCAGGCTGAATCCTTCATTTCCATACTGAGTGTAAGAGAAGAACTGTAGAAGTACTGATGGCATCTCTAGGAGTAGTGGTGTCCAGCATATTCTGTGTCTTCATAGTTGGAATACATTGTCAATGCAATTTCACCATTTGACTTCCCAGTGCATTTTCATGATTGCATTTCACTTAAGAAGAACTTGTGCAGAGCAGTTATTTTTTTAATAGCTCTTTAAATGCTGAACATGTATAAATGAAACTCGTTTAACAAGATGGGGATGTTCTGACGTAGGTGGGGTTGGTGGTTGTTTTGGCCTGGGTGAAAATGCAAGAATTTGCTTCAAGCAAATGGAAACCCTTGTTGAAACAAGCAAGAGTGACTTTCATCTATTTTAAGATCTTTGTGTATCTTGGGAGCTGCTATAGTTCTTACACCACAGATAAAGAACGTGTAAAAGCATAGATATTGCAAATGAAATTGTAGAATAAGTTTTCCTGCTAATGAGGAAGGAGAGATACTCTTTTCTTTGTGGAGAGCCAGCAAACAATACCCTCCTCTGTTAGAGTAAGACATGAGTGATTTTGTCTGTGACCTTTTCTTTCCCAGGAAAAGGAAGAGGATGTGCGGCTTACTGATGTGGGCAGGGACAAAACATTTTCACCACCAGCTACATAAAGGATTATGATTAAATGAATGATTAATTATACTCCCTTAGAGTGGCTGCTGCTTGTAGCTGAACCTTGTTTACGGGAGCATGATAGTCCAGCCCAAAAGTCCTCCTGACTTTTGGAGGCTGGGCACAGGGGCTTTGTTTATGAGGAGCATAGGAAGCAAATTTGCTCACCGGTGTTTCAGAAGTGTGACAGGGTGCCAGACGTGGTGGTTGTGGGGCAGCTTTGCCAGCAGCACTGATCGACTCGTGTGGCAGAGAGGGTAGAAGAGACAGATCTGAAGGTGAGGCTTTCTTGGGTAGGGTTCACTTCTCCCATCCTTTCCACTGAGTTTTGGATGTGCTGGCTGAGCTCACCAACAAGCCTAGAAAGATAGAAGTATTGTGTATATTGGCTTGTCTCTCCATGATCACCTTCCCCCTCTTTCATGTCCTTCCCTCTGGCTTCCAACATTGGCGAAGTGAATACATAGGACTCTTCTAGGCTTTGCCTTCTTTTGTGCCTGGGCTAGGATCTATTAAGGGTGCTTGCACCGGTGCTGGCAGGATTTGGCCATGTGATTTATTTATTAATGTTGAGGTGCATGTCAAATATATTCAAAAGGGCTCAAGAAGGATGAGGATCAGAGGGAGATCCTACATGACGTGGGTGAGATGGACCTTGCTGCCACTAGCTTATCTTCATTTGCAGCATCAGCTGTGAGTTACAGGCAAATATAGACCTGCAAATGGTCACTGGTCTCAAACTGTGCTCTTGTCCAGGCATTCAGCAAACATCCTTCTGGAACTTGAAACCCTGGGCTCTTCCTCCACCTTGTCCAGGGTTCTCCTTTCCATGCTTCCATGGGAATGATGCAGTAAAGGCAACAAGAACATTGTGTTCAGCTTGCATGACCCAAACTAAGCAGCGTTTAGGGAAGAACTTTTTTGCTAAGGTCGATGTATTGAATTACCAGTTTGGTAAAGGCAGTTTCTTAAATCTAGATGGTGGAAGAAAATAAAACAGTTCTCTGACTTCTTCCTGAAAGGAGCTGAAGTTAATTAAAGAGAAGAAATACCTACTGTTTGGAAAGCAGAGGAATCTTTGCTTTCATGACAGTTAAAAGTGTATGAAAATACAGATGTGAGATGGAAAGAATTTTTTTAGTTTCGTACACAAATAAACAGTGATTTAAAAAATAATTGAGAAATCAATTTCAGAAATTAAGGAATAATCCATAAAGATTAGTAAAAAGTTGTGTTCAAAGGCAAATTGCTTATACTCCATTTCCATCTCCTTCGTTCTTAATCTTAATCATATCTCCCACATACCCTGTTGTAAGTTGAATATAGACTGCACGTGCATTTTAATCAACACTACTTTATTAGTTACAGATCATGGCTCCCTGGCCTGAGGTAGAAAAGCCTGAAACCAATAACTATATTGGGGACTCTTCCAAACAAAACCAGAACATGGCTGGGAAAGAAGGAGAAAATCACAAAGGTAACGTGCTCACCAGTGAGTTATAGAGGTATATAAGTTTTGGGGATCCTTGGAAAGGATGGAAAGTAATTAAACAATTTTTTACACATTCTATTTCAGCAGGCAATGTGGCTTCACTTGGAAATAAAGGGGAAATTCAACCTGCATTTTCCACAATAGCCTTGATAGATGAGACAAGGCCAGAGCAAGGCGACCCATGGGCTCTGCCGGAACTGCAGGACACTGGGGTCAAGTGGTCAGGTAGCCATTTCTCCACAAATAAATTACCTGCATTTTTTTTCCCACCACTTCTTCTCTCACCTTCTCTAAAAGTTAACGGGGATCTTATACTTAGTCAGCTAAGAAGGATCTGGAAATCATACTGCTTACCTTCCTTAAAACACAAACAGATATATGGAAAACAGTCCAGCACTAATATGGTTTTATATCCAGGCTCCTGTCTTTCTTTACTCAGTAGGGTCACTATAAAATGAAGGGTCAATCTCAAATTTTATAAGGCTTTTGTCACATACCAAAAAACTTTTTTGGTGGTAAAATTAAGTAAACAAAATACCTGCTTCTGCAGTCACAATGTGATTAAAAACATTCTTTTGGATTTAATCACACATTGAATTCACAGCACCGTCTTTGTCTCCATAGTCTCTGCTTTTGTGCTAGAGTGTTCCAGAGAACACTTCAAGCAAGTCCTTTATGCATAATGTATTTGTTTTGCAGAATTAGATAGAAAAGGAAAAATCATTCGTGTACTCTACGGGATAGGGAAGTTCATTATGCTGCTTGGATTGCTCTACATGTTTGTGTGTTCCCTGGATGTTCTGAGCTCTGCTTTCCAACTGGTAGGAGGTATGAAAATGTTTAAAATATTAAGAATAAACTGAATAAGATGGGAAATTTCATCTGAGCAACTTAGTTACAACTCTCACTCTTCAAGAACATTCTTCATATGTTTTGAGACAGAGATTCAGGAGTAGCTCTGACTGAAGACTGACCTTCATTTGTTTGGAAGGGCCTTTCTTCCTCAAATTCCAAAGAACTGTTGATGTGGTTATTGGCCCTGATTTCTTAGTAGTTTCCTGTTACTTTAGTGACAGTTTATATGGATACATCTGTGCATAAATCTATCACATGTGAAAGACATTTCAACAAGTTGAAATATGAAAACTGTGCTCTTGACCAAAGCATCCAGCACTAAAATATCCCCCAAAACTATCAAAGATGAAAACTATTGAAATGTATTTTTTACATTTGCCAAACTTCAAGGGTTGAATTCAAATGAGGAGTTCAGGAGTGGTTATCATATGAGTTTCTGTGGAAGTATTTTGGATTTTTGGAAACACAGAAAGCTACAGGGACAGAATTAATCAGTATAATTAAAATAGTTTTCCTTGAGACGGTAATCAAAAATACCAAGTAATAGCATTTAAATCTATGCATATGTGGCTTTTGAGCGATAGTCTTTCCTCTGATGGTAATGGTTTTATATGCTTCTCTGCAAAATTCAGTAAAGCTTGTTTAGTCACTGAAATGAGAGAATGTAAAGTATTCTCTAACAACTGAGAAGCTGAGAGTTCAGGACCTAAATCTGGATCCCTGGGCTGCATCACCTTGTACTTTTTTGAGCAGCAAGCATGGCTATATATGTGTCAATTAAATGGGTTGAATGATCTTTAATTAAACACTCTGATAATTTCTGTAGACTTTACCTTGCACTTCCCTCACTCCGAGAATATATTTTTTGTAGGTAAAGCAGCAGGGGACATATTTAAAGATGATTCAGTGCTGTCTAATCCTGTCGCGGGATTGGTGATTGGAGTTCTGGTGACTGTTATGGTCCAGAGCTCCAGTACTTCCTCATCCATCATAGTCAGCATGGTGTCCTCCACATGTAAGTCTGCTTACAGTATCTTCCTACAGATTACTCATAAATCTCATCTGGGGTGCAAACATTCCCACCCGCGTTCAAGTTGTGGAAGCTTTGGGTGTAAGAATAGAGGCTGCAGGAAGAGCTTTTCACAGCTGTTGCCTTGATATAAAATAAAATTTTAAAAATTAATAATGATAGTATTAATAGTAGTAGCAATACTAGTAGTACTAGTAATAATAGTAAGATCACAACTGCCATGAAAATCATTGGAAGCCTTGGCACTGAATGCCTTAATTTTGAAATTATCTGCATAATTTTCTAATGTTAGGCAGTTACTAAACTTCATCTGTTTCTGCGGCATCATTTCTAAATTCTGCAGTAAGTAGGCAAATGCCTGGGAAAGAAGAGACTTTATCTTACTCTGGCCCTCCAGTATGTGGTGAAAAGGGATAACCACGGGCTGCAGTTTCAGTCAGGACTATGGGAGTGTCATGTTCCCATGGGATTTGATTAAAGTAAACATTTGGATCACAGTACCTAATCCCAGTGACATCAAGGGAAGTCACGGATTCAGTGACATTAATAGAAATCTTCATTGAAGCATAGAGCTTGCTGATGATCTGATTTTCTCATTCAGTGCTTCCTTTTCTGCTTTCCAGTGCTAACTGTTCAATCAGCTATTCCGATCATCATGGGAGCAAACATTGGCACCTCAGTTACAAACACGATTGTGGCACTCATGCAAGCTGGAGACAGGAATGAATTTAGAAGGTATTGTATTTAAACACTACACCTGAAAAGTTGTTTGTTCCTTCTTTGTAGGTTTTCTTCCATTTTCCCTATCACTACTACAGCCATTCAAACTTTCTAGTTAGGAAAGTCACAAGCATGGCCATGGCAAAGGTACAACGTTGCCTATATATATGGTTTCATATACTTGAAGAAAAGCATATTGGGTTCCTTTAAAAGTTTTGTGGTTTTGTAAGGATCCACCATTTTTAATGATCTTACACAAGGATAAATTTTCAGCTGCTCCCACTATGCCACCCACCTTTAATTATGTCTTAGTTATTGGAGGGCTGTATAAGAAGTTAATATTACATTATTTTTGTCTAGTCTCTTTAAACAAGATTTCGATATTGAAGGTTTTTTAAGTCTACAGTAAGCAAGACCTGGTAACTGTAGAGAAATTATGTGTTCTGGCTGTCAAACACATAAAGTGACAGCTTTTAGACCGCCACTTGACATTGCCACTGAGAGAGCTTTCGGCTTGCTGGAGATGGGCAGTAAACTTGGCAGAGATGGGAGACTTTGGTACCTTGTCGTCTGTGCCATACTGGACATATGAAATACTCTTCGCCAAAGTCTCTGAGGGGAGAGTTGTGGCTCCTCAGGCTTTAGAGGAGAAGATGGAAGGGAGCTGTACACCAATGGCTTGCAGGAACACGTGAGAGGGCCGCAAAGCTCTCTCACCCCAGGATTCAGGGAGAACAGGTCCCAGAGGAAATGACTGGCTGAGGAATAAAAATGTGCCAAAAATGGGTGAGAGACAAAACAAATGTAGGTTCTACAGCCACTTCTTTTTTCAGATGAGTACTCTTGGCAGCCTTGTGTTAAGGATCTCTTTTACCTTTTCTAGTTTTTCTTGTTTTACTCACCTGGCTGGCTCTTTAATTGGTCAACAGTGTGGAGACAACTTAATGCTCCATAGCCAAGTAGCCATCTCCTGTGACCCTGGAAATGAAATGATTCCCACCTTGAAATGGGCTTCATCCCCACTGCTATGATTTCATATCTAACTGATGTTGTACATATTTTGTCTAATTAAAAGCAATCCTGGTTTTTAATTTCTTTTTCCAGGGCCTTTGCTGGGGCAACAATCCATGATTTCTTTAACTGGCTTGCTGTGTTTGCACTGTTGCCCATTGAAGTTATTTCTGGCTATCTTTACCATCTCACCAATGCTATAGTTGAGTCCTTTCATCTTGAAAGTGGTGAAGATGCCCCTCAGCTACTAAAAGTTATCACAGACCCCTTTACAAAGCTCATCATTGAGGTAAGCTTTTTCTCACTTCAAGTAAGCTGCTTACTTGGTTCAGTCACAGCTAATCAAAATGCTCTGAATATGAGAAGGGTTCCCACTTCTTTCTCTATGTCCTTGGCTTAAAGCTCATTAGCAGATGAATTCTTCTTTTTATTCACATTTCATAAAACCCCAGCTCTATAGTTCCTGTTTCTATTTCCCCCGCATTTCACCTTAATGATGACAGACCTAGCTAGGAGGAAGGAGAAGGCAGGTGAGGACAAATACAGCCATGTGAGATGGATGGGAAGGCAGCCTGTTGCCTAGACATTGGCAGACAGTACTAGCTCAGACAACCTGGCACAGCCAGAAAATCAGTGTAGGACCTGACATAATTGCGTGTATCTAGAGGCTGGGGGGGAAAGAACACATCTTCTAAAATGGCAGTAAATACAGTCAGGCAGTTGATTAAACAGAAGGGGAGAGATGAAGTGGTGGATGATTTGGGGAGAATGAGACACAGTATTTGTGCGTGTAGAGTTGCGCCTTTTTGTCAGAGTAAACCCCCTCCTACATGTTGGGCAGCTCCAGCACTAGAGATGATTGTGCAGGCTTATCATGGTTGGGATTCCAAAGGGGGTTGTTTGAGTAGAGCTGAACAGAAGTTTGTGATGCAAGTTGGAATAATGCATTTTTAAAATTTTTCTTCTTCTTCTTTTTTTTTTTTTTTAAAGCTTGATAAATCAGTAATAAATGCAATTGCTACTAATGATGAATCAGCAAAAAACAAAAGCCTGGTCAAGGTCTGGTGTGTAACTGAAACCAATGTGGTGAGTATTATGCTAAATTAATTGTCAGGTACCTCAGGAAGTGTATTACTGATCTGTAGCTGACAATCCTTATCGTAATATTGTGAACTTAGATTTTTAAATCATGGGGTTTTTTTCAGCAGAAAAAGAATGAAAACAATTTAAGGCAGTTTTTCCTCCACTTAAACAAAGGATGGTCACCCATGGTGACCTTGACCAGGCTACTTTCGGTACCATACAGGCCCTCACTTATCAGTACTGCTGGTTTGGAGCCAAGTCTTTCATTCCTTTCACACACACAAATGTCTTTAAACTGTGATACTACTGACTCCCTGAAAGTGGAAAAAATCTGCAACATGGGCCAAAGAAAAGATCTTTCCAAACACTGTTTATCTACTGATCTAATAAGTTTTAGTTTTACATATGTTAGGGTGACCTGGTGGTAGCTGGTTATATGCAGCTTTCTTGGAAAACTGCCCTTGGAGAAAGCCTCTGTGGGGCTGTGCCCTGTTGTTCTTCACCCAAACAGCACTGCAGCTTGGAGGAATCTCTTGCCCAGATTGACACCTATGAGTATTTTGATAAACTGTGGAGTTGAGTGTTTTGTTTGCATTGTTCAGCTAACTAGTAATTAGAGCATAAAATATCCTTTGATTCCCTAATTAAAGTTATTAGTTGTACTTGTTGTCATGTATAGAAAAGTAATTCCTGAAGTGCTGAGGCAGGAGATACTTAAGAAGACAGAGTGGAGGTTGAAATGAAGTGCCCAGCTCCTATTGAATGATAGTCTGGATGGCCAGTGAAATGCTAGCTAGAGAGATAGTACCAGGAGCAGAGCTGTGCTCATCTGAAACTCTGCTCGGGTTACACTGCTGAGTATCTGGGTGTTTCACCTCGGGGGGGCAGGGGGCTTGGGCAGCTGCCCTGCTGTCAGACCCCAGCCCGTGCTGAGCCCCGAAGTCCTACAGAGGACAGGAAACTACCCTATGTGGAAAGTGTAGGCTGAAGGAAATGTGTATTTCGATATACATGGTTTTATACTGTGCTTGTCTGTAGTTTGGCTGTGTACCTACTGCTCAAGGATATAGTCAAACTACAAAAACATATGAACCCCATAACAGTTTGACTTTAACTTGATGGGGGAAAGACGTTTAAAGCAAAACATAAACATTTTGATCTAATGCAGCTGCTTTGAAACTCAGATGTTTGAAAAAAATTCAGGAAGGTGAAAAAAAAGATTGTGCTGTGTTTGTAAAGGCTGACATGATGGGGAGGCTGGAGCCCAGGTATGGGGGCACTAGATCCACTCTCATCCTTGCCCACGTGCATCAGCTGGAAGGTGTTGAGAATGTAGGTGTCTGTAGGCGGTACCCTGATTTCTTGTTCTCCATTTCTACAAAAGAAAATCACACAAACATGTTTAAAAGATACCTGCTGTTCAACAGCATGGTTCAGAGTCCATTTGGCTGTTAGTTGCTCTCCTGTGGAAGTACAGCTCAGTCAACGAACTCTTCCTTAGTCTGCATAAGGACTTACGGACTTGGTGTCAGAATGCAGCATGTCTAGGCTAGGAGTCCTTATAAGGAAGGTTTTAATGTCATAAATAGAAATTTAGGTTCAGCTCCATAATAATAATGTAATTCATAGCTCTTGTAATTAGCTCTTAGATAGCGTTTGAACATTAAAAGGAAAGTAGTAGCAGCACTTCTGTTTCTACAGACAGGGAAACTGAGGCGCGGGAAGGCGCGCGAGCAACTCGTGCTCATCCAGCAACAAAGGCTGCACTAGTATTGTAGCATTCTGAATCACAGCCCTGGTGTAGTACTCACCAGACCATTAACTGCTGTTGAGATGACAGTAAAGAGGTCTTTGACCAAGGAAGCTGTGGTGCTGCCTGGAAAAGGAACGTCACTGTCTTGCAACTGCAGCCTTATGTGAGCCTCCCTCCACTAACTGTCATCAGCAGTTAAGGTTCTTAACTATTAATGACTTGGTGCTATAGTCATTACAACGTAGAAGATTTTGGGGATATTTTAATCTTTAAATGTTGTATTAATTGGCTTGGGTAACAGCACAATGATTTATTTCAAGAATGCGGAAGTTTCACCTTGACATTAATGTGGTGCCAGCTTACAAATCTGCCCTTAGTTGATGAATCCTTGGTTGTAGTAAAAACCTAACACTTTATATGAGCTCTTAATAAAAGGTTGTAAATGACTGAACTATTTTCTCTGTCTGGCGATCTTTAGACACTGCAGAATGTCACAGTTCCATTTCCAGAAAACTGCACATCTCCTGACTTTTGCTGGACTGATGGAAACATGACATGGACTCTCAAGAATGTAACTGAAACAGACTATATCACTAAATGTAAGTAGTAGAATTCTTTCTTCTATGGCAATATCTTTACATATGTATATAGCTTTTTGATGGTGTTAACAGACCACTTCAGAGGTGTATCAGGAAGCCCTTGCCTGCGTACAGACACATGGTACCAGTGCAGGTGTTGTCCGAGGAGCCTGTGCTCTGCTATAGCTATGCAGCTGGAGTTACCGGCATCATCATGGTATCTGGCTGCAGATGGATCTCTTTCCATGCTCCTTGATATCAGTAATTGAGGTCTTCAGTATCATGTCACCCTCGCTGTTCAGATGGCTTGGAGCTATGGTTACTTTGTTGTAATGGTTTCTTGGATATCTCCATCCCTATGCATGCCCTGCAGGAGTTTCAATGGCCCTTCTCAGGCACGCAGCCACCTCTGGGAAAACCTGGCCCAACATCCAGCTTGGAGCACTCCAAAACTTCCTCCTGCCATTGTCCTTCTCTGCCTTGTACATGGTCACCCAGCTCTTGCCTGCTCTGTCAGGGTGCCTGCTGTGTGTTTTATAAGCATGTCCATACAAGAGCTTCTCCTGCCCCACTCAGACATAGCTTTTTTGGAGCAAGGGAGGTGGCATTTTCTCTCTTTGCATCAACCCCTCAAGCTGTGTGTGCTTTGGTCCCATTTTCTAAGTGACTTGTACAAAAACCAGGGCTGGGCTTAGTTAGGATCACAAGCAAAAATGTGGATAGGCTAATTAATTTTCCATTTCTTTTTCAGGCCAGCATCTCTTTGTAAACTCAGACCTGCCTGATCTTGCCATCGGTCTTATCCTTCTGGCTTTGTCCCTGTTTGTTCTGTGCTCCTGTTTGATAATGATCGTTAAGCTATTAAACTCTGTGCTTAAAGGACAAGTGGCGAGTGTTATCAAGAAGACAATCAACACTGGTAATTATCTGCTTTTCCTGAGGATTGTTTTCAGGAATGACGAGGACACTGAACACATTTATTGATATTTCCCATTCTGGCAGATAACATAACATAGTTTAAAGAAAATAGTATTGAATGAAAATCACCCCCCCACCCCATATTTTTTCTCCCAAGCATATTTTTTTCTTTCTTTTAAAAATCTAACAGTGAATGGCTTGATTGAGAAATGCAGCAGATTAACAGCATCAGAGACCAAAGTCCAGGCTCTGTTTCTTGATGTATAATCATTAGCTGTTAGAAATGTAATGTTCCCATCCTCAAAAGATAGCACTGAAGTGCTGAGACTGTGATTGCCAGTTCTGGCACAGAGCCTCCATGTTCCTTCCAAAGTAAGTTGACAAAAGTTTGTAGTAATTAATGATCTTGTCCTGTTCCACTGCCTAACCCTCTCTTCAGCAGGATAAGGCAGCTTTCAGTAGTGGTATTTTCTGTCTTGCCCTGTGCTCTCCAGGTTTTTTTTCAGCTTGGATCCACTGAGTGCAAATGTTGGAGTTTTTTTCGCTTGGCTGCTTTTCCTGCATACTCTGTTGAACGCAGAGATTGGAACCTGTAGCAGAGAAAAGCAGTCCTGGCATAGATCCCAGGCTATGGTTGAGGAGAAGGTTCACAGAAATGGGGAAGGCAACAAAGTGGTCCCCAAGCTCTCTTCTCTTCTCCTGGACAAAGAATATGGTCTGAATTAAAAACAAGGGGGAGAAAGTAAACAGCTGCCAGTTACTGTTTATTTCATTTCTGAGCTGCTCAGTGTTCCTCTGTGTCTTCCCAATTGATTAAGTTCTCACTTCTCAGCTCACTCATACATCTACAGACTGCAGGGGACCATTGTGCCTAGTTTTTCTAATCATCATGTTTAGTTTTCTTTGCAAGAGCTAACAAGTAAATTTTTAGGAGATGATCTGCTTGAAACTAGTTAGAACAAACCACCTGATTTTGTAATGATGCTCCTCAGAGCTTCCTGAAGATCTGATTCATGCAGAAGGTGCCTGGTTGCTGAAACCAAGGCTCTCGAGACACTTAGAGGGTTTTGTGTTGACCTCTGTGAAAACATTTCTGATACCTCATTGCATTACAACACGTATGCTACCCTTGTTTAGGACGAATGTCCACCTAGTCTAGTACACATCTCAAAGTGCATCCAGTGGTGGAAGGCTGGAGAAGGAGTGCAGCTAACAGAATAAATCAGAGTAGTAGGACTGACTCTGACCCCAAATTGCCATTTAAGAGAAAATAGGCAAAAAATATATCTATATTTTGAGTGCTTAGTAGTCTTCACTAATGTGTTACTGTTACACAGAGCATTCTGTTGTACTAACAACAGTGTTCTCCCTCTATTCTTTTAGATTTCCCATTTCCTTTTACTTGGTTAGCTGGATACCTGGCTATGCTTGCAGGGGCTGGTATGACCTTCGTTGTCCAAAGTAGTTCTGTTTTCACATCTGCTATTACACCCCTTGTTGGTAAGTTGTCAATACTGTGTTCTATATCCCCATGTTTTATCTTCTCTGTTTTCCTGAAGCCAACTCAATCCTGCTTCTTTTCTCACAGGCATTGGCGTTATAAGCATTGAGCGCTCTTATCCCCTTACCTTAGGAGCTAACATTGGCACAACCACGACAGCTATACTTGCGGCTTTAGCAAGTCCAGGGAGTACATTAAAATATTCACTGCAGGTCAGTATAAGCCAATGCTTCCTTGACTTCATTTAGAAGTTGCAACCTTTCTGAAGAAAAACCTGGCAAAATTTGATCTGATGCAATTATGCCATGGATGTCATGTCTGATTTTGTGTGTACTGTTATTGACAGCTCATTCATTTCAACTGTTAGAGCAAAAAGGTTGTTAAACATTCCCAGAATGTCAATATACAGTTAAATCTTGCTTTCATAAATTGGCTTGATCTGAGTGAATTAATTCAGAACTGAGACAGAGTGGGCCACTTGAACCCTGAGCGTGGGGTCTCTGCAGCTTGGAATTCAGTGCCCATATATCTGACAATCCTCTTGGGGTTACTGATTTCTGTAAGGTCTCTTCTCAGGACCCTGACTCAGTTCATGCAGTGTACAGGGACTCCTGTAGCCTAACTGAAGGCTGCACAACCCTTAAGCTGGCAAGCTCTCTGTCTATCCAAGGTTGCAGTGAGCATAATGTGTTTTTCTCATTGTAAATGTAATCTCAGTGGATTTTATTAAATTTCTTGTTGCCCCAAACTGTTTGAAAAATAGGCAGCTTGGCTTTGGCCTCCCATTTTCCACCTGGTAAAGAACCTGGCAGCAGATCACATTTGAGTGAACATTCTACATCAAAGAGGGAAAAGATAATGACGTTTCCTTTGTGAATAAGACAAATGTTTTTTACTAGCCCAAATAAATCAAGAAAATTAGTGAAGCCATTTTATTGTCCTCAGGCGTGATAGAACAGATGTAATCATGAGAAGATGCTATCTTGATAAAGCTCAGATTTCATGATAACATACTGGTTTTATAATGCACTTTAAAAATAAACTTCTGTACTTTCATATTTACTTTGGTCTGATAACAGTTACAGAATGAAGATAAGGTGAGAAAGGAATGTACTGTTTTGTTCAGTATATGCTTATTCTGTCTAAGCAATTTCTGAAAGCTTTAGCAAAAGGATGTCTCTTGATGCTTATTTTTAAAAAAAAAAATTGAAATATGTGAATTGAATGATTATAACGACCCAGACAAAGTCCTATTCCAGGAATCTCCTCAGTGCCCTATAAACTTATAGCTAAATTTTGTAAAATCCAGGTCTGTATCATTAAAAATTTTAAATAGCCTCTGTGTAATATCTAATTTACACTTCCCATATTTTCACTAAAAATTATGGATGCAGAACCCAACAATGAACAATTCTCACATAGTTCCCATGCCTTACTAACAACAGAACTGTTTGCTGAGACCTGTTTGGTGTTTCAGCTTTGTTTCTGATGGACTCCATTTCTTGCACTTGGAAGCTGCATTTTAATACTTCTCCATCTGCAGGGGGATCCAACATCCGCTCTAGGCCTGGCTTGTGTTTGTAGGCAGTGATCTTTGCAATGTGTGAGGCATTACCGAGTCCTTGTTTTGTGCTAGGAAAGGCCCTGCAGTCAAATAGCATGAAAGACAAGAAACAAGAGTAGGGAGTAAGGAAAGGGAAACTATGGAGTCTGAGTGCCACTGGAAGTTATTAAAATGTCAGTAGGAGCATTTTAAAGACCTTTTGGCTAATGAACTTCTCAAATGTTTTTGCTTTCAGATTGCCTTGTGCCACTTTTTCTTCAATGTCTCTGGGATTATTCTGTTTTACCCAATACCTTATACCCGGCTGCCAATACGCATGGCCAAGACCTTGGGAAACACAACAGCCCAGTACAGATGGTTTGCTATATTTTATCTTCTAGTCTGCTTCTTTCTTTTGCCTTTGTTTGTATTTGGTCTGTCACTGGCAGGGTGGCCAGTCCTTTTGGGTGTTTGCCTTCCCCTATTCCTTTTTTTTATTGCTGTGGTTGTAATTAATGTTATGCAGAAAAGGCGACCACATTCGCTGCCTGAAAAGCTCCAAAACTGGGATTTCCTACCCATCTGGCTGCACTCCTTAGAGCCCTGGGACAACATAATTATGGCTTCAATTGCCTTTTGTGGGAAACACTGCTGTGGCTTCTGCAAGTGTTGCAAAGTCAATGCTGAACAGGAAGGTGCCAAAGACAAGCAACTAAAAACTACAGAGGTTTATGAAAACACCATGGCAATGGCTGATGAAGAAAGAGGTGGAAGAAGAGCACCAGCTGCAGCTTCTGTTGACAAAACAGTCACAAACAACACAGCCTTATAGTAGCGGATCAACCCATATTAGCAGAAATACAGCATAGGACAGTCAGGCTCTTCAAAACTACCTTGGACTATGCACTGAGGACAGAGTGAACATTTTGTTAGGTTTCTGAAACCGGTGATACATCACTCATCAAGGAATGGAGTCAAACAAGCTTGACAGAGTCCCTAGAAAATCTGTGCTCGGTTGCAAAGCTAATGACAGATTTGCTCACAGAGGATCTACTATGAGGTACCTTCCTCCAATGCTATCAGTAGCAAACAAAAGAAATCCTGCTGTAGTCCCATGAAGAGAGAGATGAAAGGAGTGGTAATCAGTTCAAACTTAAAAAACAAACAAACAATGCACTTGTAGAACAGCCTATCTAATCTACCGACTTATTCAGCAGAAGTTACTTTATAATACCTAAAAAGCTCTGGAAATTAAAAAAAAAAAAAAAAGAAAAAAAAGGTAAATAAAAAGGGGAATCCTAATGTTTTCATTGGTCTATTTGCGTGGTCAAAATGGAAAACAGTTTTCCTAGAGTGGACAAAATCTATTCTATATCCGTGAAGGAAAATGAAATGCTGGGATATCGTTCAGAAGCTCTTGGAATCCTGCTCTGGTGTAAGGGTGTACATAAGCCCATTTGAAGCCCTCTCTGTCTCCTTTAACACTGGGAACAGAAGTTATAATCTTTTATTATCTCAAGCTAAAGGCCATGAAAGTAATTGCTGCTCCCTCTGCACTGTGTTTAGAGGCATCAAGTGGCTATCAAAGGTCTTGATTGACTCAGGATGTAGTTGTGTTGCCATTCCTCCCTCTAGATGGTCCTCTTCAATCCTGTTCACCATGTAATTCCACAACCAGAGGAACGGTGCAGAAGGAAGAACAAGTGACCAGTGTAGGGGAGGAGACAGCTGCTCCAGCCTGGGCTGATGACAGATCTATGTTCAGCTGTGGCTCCGTTTGCCTGAGCCACAAAATGAGTTTTCAGAGTAGTGGTGAAGACTGGCTTTAGAGCTACAAAAGAGGGAACCTACAGAGCAGATTATGGCTAGCACGGGACATATGGTAATGTTTACTGGAGAGAAAGGGGTGTTCACCATCCCTCTGTATGTTGAACCACCCTCCTTGGAAATAATGTGAATTTTACTGGTAATTGTATGTAGCAATCCAAATCCCACATAAAATCCATAACTAATCTAGTCACTATCGTGTAGCAAATCCATAGGTAAAGTAATACTTGGTGGGAAGCTGCTTATGATCAAATTTTACCATTACTGATGTTTTAGTAATGCTTATGAGGTTGTTCTGAATCATGGGCTGACAAGGCGTAATTTCAGTATCAGGAAAAGAGCATTTCAAAGATGCACTGTGTACTTCTACTGGCCTTCAATTGCTCAGATATTAGTGAGTATGGGATAATACCTGAAGTCCAATCAGTAGTGTTAAAAAAAATAGGTGATTCAGTGTAGGCCCCAAGAGTCATTTAGAGCCAGTTTAAGTGGCTGAGTTTTAAATTAAATCTGTAATGGAAACACTGAGAAGACCCTTAGTGTGACGTAGCCACTCAGTGCTGCTAGAACACATTTACTTCTGAATAGCTGTTTTCTGCAGAGCTTGGAATTCAGTAGGTTGAATTTGGCTATTAGGTAAATACATACATTTTAGAAGTGGAAATTGTTTTCATTTACTTTATTAAACTGACATTCAAACTGGCAAACTATGTTGCCGAAAATGTGTTTGCAAACTGCATGCACACTGAGATTCCAATTGTTTCTGTAACTGTGAACCAGTGACAAAATGCTTAGAATCTGAGTGAATTTTAAAAATATATACTTTTGGTACAGTTCTGCTCTTTTGGAGTGTAGTAGCAAACAGCAGAGCTATGTCAAACTATTCTTTCAAAAGTTATTTTTTCCTTGTTCTTCATGGAGTTGAAAAGAATTTTGTCAACATCTTATTTTTAAAGTTGAATTTTGATACCTTCAATAATTCTTCTTCATTTTATTCTCACAATTTTGGATGCTTTTAGAGTCTGTTTCTTTAAATTCCTGTGTGCATTTCCCATGCCATGTTTCTTTAGGAAAAATATGAGAAAAATAGTCAGAATTCTTTCCAAGTTATCTCAAGTTTCCATTGACCACTCATTGAAAGAGGAAACAATTTAGTCTACTTCTACTCATTTTTTAAACAACATGCACCTTATTTTGCATCTTGAAGCACAGCCATCAAGAACAGTGATAATAACTGTGAGAAAGTGATTCTTACAAAAGAATCGGGATAGTAATTGTCAGACATATCAGTACTTTAGGTTCCTCATTGTAACATTTCCCCTATGATCTCTTCTTGCTCCAAGCCATATTGTTCCATTGTGTTAAGCAGATTCCAACAAATATTTCTGTTTTTCACTTGACAGAACAATATGTCTTGGTATATTTCCTCCCTTACTCTTACTAAAAGATATTTACACTTTATTTATAATTGTTGGAGTGTACAGAATTTTTCATAAGTTATAGAGAAAAGGGCTCGTGATTGTGTTATATATTACATATTTGAAAACTATGCAATGTTTGTCTATAAAAATGTAAAAAGGAACTACTGTATATTTTGTAATATAACTTCAAATTGTTTGTAACTGTGTATACTGCATATTATGGCGGCTGTTGGCTCCATCAGCAGGTTACTTAAAGATAGCAATGCAGAGACAGATTTATTGAAGTAAAGGTGTAAAAAACTGACATACTTTCATAATATGGCTTAATACACAAGGATATTGAACTCTACTTTTCTAAAAGATGTGAATTTTCTGTAATGAGAAATTTTGGAAATACAGTGTTTCTAAAATACTTTTTTAAACTCTTAAACACTATCTTTTATTTGTTTTGAGGACAGGATATGACTTTATACTTTGTCATGAATATTCATCTTATCTGTCCTCATTAAATGTAAAAATAAAGAGAAGTTTTAAAAAAAATAAGATCTTTTCATAATATCTGTTTATATACATATCACGGAAGCTTACAGAAAAATAAGTATGCAAACAAGTTCTAGCCTGAGCTGATGCAATGTACAAGAAATGAGGTTATCATCGAGCACTAAAGAAAAGCACCTGTGTGTCCAAATTTGCATATGAATGAGAGATTTTCATATGAAGAATAATAAACAGAATTGCTCAGTGCAATTGTGTGTATCAAGATATTTTCTGGCAGGTTGCTGCAGACTGTCCTCAGTGAAGACAAGCATGGGAGAGCAAAGCCAGTGCTATTATGGCAACAGGGTGCATGATGAGTTATAACAAATGATCTCTATCACTGCACTAAACTCAGGTTCTCCCTGTTTTCTCTGGCAGAGTGTTTCCAAAATGCTCCTTATAGCCTGTGATGTCTGACTTATAACTGGGAAAAAAACCCCTATCTTACTCTTTTTTTTCAGTCACACGTGACCTATGGAGCTTAAAATTAAGCAGACAGAGAGAAATAAAAAGTACTCCTTAAATGCTTTAGAGATTATTAAAAATGACATTAGACTTCCTAACTATGAGCTCAATGGTAGCTGAGGAACAAGCCCCAAAACCAGCTCTTATTCCCAATTATACCATGCTTTAGTGAAATGAAGGTAGCAGAAGTATGTCTTGTAACACCAATATTTAGGCACTATGGTGTAAACTGTCTTCTTTTGAAAATGCGGCAAGCAGTAAGAACCCTAGGCCCATGATTTAAAACTTACAGCTTCTTACACCCATGCAGAAATACTGTAATTTATCACCCTCCATGACTCACTGTCCGTTGGGAATCAAAGCGCACCCAGGAAACACGCACGGGTTGTGTCACCCACCTTTCCATTTCCAAACCCTTTGTGGAGCTACCTGGGGCAAAGTTCAGCAATGCCTGTCACTATTTAACCACCAGCAGTCAAGTCATGGAGCGCTGTACTCATCAGAAGCCTTCAAAATGTTCAAACAATGCTTCAGCTGATTGCATAGTTGCTGATGGCACTGTTCTCCACTCTGTTCTCCACACTGTTCTTCCCCTCTGCTTGCAAACTTAACCATGTTGTCCACAGCCCCTGCTGGTGCTCCTGTGCTTTTTTATCCTCTGCTGTGCCACATTTGCTTCCCCAGTTTCAAACTCTTGATAAGACTGCATTGAACTGCACCAGGGCTACCACTGAAGTGTTCTTGCTAGTCAGAAATGCTGGTTAAATGCTTCATTTAAGTCTCTTTCTTTATCTCACCATATAGTGGTGGGCACCCAGCCAGGTCCTTAGGACATCTGCTGGCTGTGCCATTGAGAAAGAGTATTCTCTGATTTACAGCAAATTATTTCAGGGCGCAGGCTGGTGTGGTACCATTGGCAGCAGCTGAACCAACACACAATAGCACAGCATCTAATCAGGTCTGTTAAAAATGGTGAGCAGCGCAGAGCAAAATTCCACTATTTCGAGAGCTGCATAAGGGAGGATACCACTCACATACCAGGGAATGCCAGGCCATGTTTCAGTTGCATAATCTCAATGGGCTGTGCTTCCATGCAAATGCATTATCTGCATTTGGATGTTTTTTCACTATCTAATGGGCACTCCTGGTGTTGCCACATGCCAGAGTCATGAGACTGTATGTGTAAACCACTCACGATACTTTTACAGCGAACAATCTGTAATCTCACTATCTTTTTGACGATTCTGCTGCAAAGAAAACACATGATCCCCATGCGAGAACTGAGTGTTCACTTTGCATATTGGGTAGTAATCACACTGATTTTCATGGAGCTGTTCCTAAGCAGGTTTCCCCTAAAAATTGGGATCCAAATGTTTCAACAAGACAGAGAAGCAGAGCAAAGGCTAGAATTAAAGTGTCACAAACATTGTGTCTTACTCAGCACCTGATGAAATTCCCTAATTGCCATTTACACTTTTGGGGTGCATCAATATTTTTACATGGCTCAACATCTAAGGACACATTACCACGGCATAAACAGTCAGGGTAATTACAGGAGCAGATATTTTGCAACCAACATCACAGGTGGTAGACTGGGGTTTTTTACACAATGAAAAATGCATAAATTACAGGACATGCAAACAACTTATGGACCAAATGCTGGCTGCCCTTGGTGAGGCAATATGTGGCCAGAACTGACATTAGGAAAATTGGTGCACGTGTGAGCTGACTAATGCAGTGGCCTCAGGCACTGAGTCTCAAATGGTTGCCAGCTGAAAGCTGGCTCTGCTGTTGCTGAGTAGTACAAACATATGGTATTGATTCTTGCTTCTTGCTTCCAGCTTCCAGCTGTTATATTACTTGAAAATATATTCCTAAAAATACCTATCAGTGCAATTTTTCTGTCTTCCTCAAAGACCGTACTGGAACAGCCTGAAATACTCCCCAGCAGAGTGGGAAGCACATGGCTGCTCCTACTCACTAGGTGCAGAGCATCCTTTGGCTTGTGCTTGAGGACAG